AAAAAATGAAAAATAATAAAAAAATAAAAAAAAATTATATATATTTTTTTTCATGCTGTCACTAGTCAGTGTCCCTGATCACCGCCATGCCAGTTATATGATGATGCTGTACTGCACTGGTGACAGTATGTAAAAAAAAAAATAGTGAAAATAATTTTTTACATTTTTTCATTTTCTGAAAAATTATGACAAAAAAAATACAACTTCAAAAAACTCTCCATGCCTCTTATGAAGTACGTCGGACTGTCTACTTTGCAAAAAGGGGTAATTTGGGGGATATCTGTACTGTTCTGACATTCTTGGACCTCAATAAATTAGATTGGCTGTCAGTACTTCAGGATTGATCAATATTCAGATCTATACCATAGTTTGTGAACTCTATAACTTTCCTACAAACTAAATAATACATCCTAATTTGGGTTATTTTCACCAAAGACATGTAGCAGAATACATCTCGGCCTAAATTTATGAAGAACAATTATTTATTTGCAAACTTTTATAACAGAAACAAAGAAAAATGTGTGTTTTTTTTTTCAAAATGTTCAGGCTTTTTTTTGTTAATTTAGCAAAAATTAAATACCCCAGCAGTGATTAAATACCACCAAAAGAAAGCTCTAGTTGTGTGAAGAAAATGATAAAATTTTAGTTTGGGTACAATGTTGTATGACCGTGCAATTGTCATTCAAAGTGTGAGAGCGCTGAAGTCTGAAAAATGGCCTGGGCAGGAAGGGGGTAAAAGTGCCCGGTATAGAAGCAGTTAAATACCACAAAAGAAAGCTCTATTTGTGTGAAAAAAGTATAAAAATTTCATATGGGTACAATGTTGCATGATGGTGCAATTGTCATTCAAAGTGTTACAGCACTGAAAGCTGAAAATTGGCCTGGGCAGGAAGGGGGTAAAAGTGTCCAATAGGCAAGTGGTTAAGGCTGCTGTCACACTGGGGAGTTTTTGTGTTAAAAAAAGCACAAGAAAAGCTCATGAAAAATGCTTCCCTGTGTATGTCTACACCATTGCGGTGTAAAGAAATGTTTTTACACTTGGGCATTGTGCTTTCATTGCAGTGTAAAAAATCCTGCTTGCAGCATTTTTAGAGCATGTTTATTCAGTTAAAAAAAATACATCGAAACGCCTCTTCCCTTTGAAATCAATGGAAAGCATGTCAAAAACACACTGAGAAGCGTTTTTGGATAATTTTTTAAGTCACATGTCCTTTAAAAAGCGCACCGAAAGTGAGATAAAAACACATGTGTTTTTTTTTTTTTTGCGGCGGATCAGTGTGAAAGTAGCCGTATTTTCAAGGCTTAACTAAATAAGCTGAAGCTAACAGCTGATTGGTTACTTTACACAGCTGCTCCAGATTCTGTCTGAATTTTTATAAATTCCCCCTCACTGTGTTTTCCATACAAAGTGTGCACAGGAAACAAGCTAAGGACTTGACATTTGCCCACTGTAAGGACAGCTAGCTGACTCAAGCTGGGTATGTACCAAAAGTCACCTGGTTCAGCAGGAAGCAGCCAACTTTCAGTATGTGTATATTGTCTGTTCAACAGAAGCCAGTCATGCTGGAAAACCAGCATTTGATCAGCCTTGCAGCCAATAGCTGCAAGTGCTGATCAGTGTATCCTGACGAAGGGGGGAGTCCCACTGTCAGAATACAAAGACACAGTGAGAGAGATCTGTGCATCGATATCACATGTGTGATCACATGTACAGATATCCCTCGCTTAACGACCTACCTGGTTAATGTATTTTTCGCACTTACAACAGCTTTTTTTTCGGCTCGGACTTACGACCCGCCCTCAGACTTACGACCCACTGTTTGGACTTGCAACCCTGCGGGGGGACATATGACGATAAACTAAGTGGCACTGCAGCCTATGGTGGATCTTCTTGTGAAGCGGCAGTATGGCCTATGGTGGCTTGTTTGTGGCCTAGGGTGTCTTTTCCGGCCTATGGTGGCTTCTGTGCAGTCTATGGTGGCTTCTTTAGTGGCTTTTTCTACTCCACAAATTCCACAGATTTCTCGGTGAGTACTGTAATGTCTTCAGTATGTACTGTACTGTATGGACAGTACTGTACAGTATGTGCATGGTGTTGCCTGCCATTCTTAGCCACCCTGGTCATTGCTGTTTCTCTGATGCTCAGCCCAGGTGGTACCATACTTGCCAACTGTCCCTTATTTTCAGGGACAGTCACACTTTTTACTCATCTCTCCCTGGCAGGCTCTGTGTCCCTGAAACTGTTTGAAACTGTCACTTCTACCCAGCAATGCTCTGTTAGAGTACAGTATTCAAGACCATTCATAAGTAATTCAGGTAGTGCATTACGATTTCAGTGTAATATTCCCCCTTACATTGTTTGATGATATACATCTCGTAGAACCACACCCATTTAAATTAATTCCCACCCCTAATTAACATACATTCTCTTCCTACCATGGCTTGCTGGATGCAGAGCAGAAAAAAAGTCCCTGAAAATTATTTTTGAAATGTTGGTGACTATGTGGTACCTGTACAGTAGTGTGACAATGTACAGTACAGCACATGTACTTTTTTTTTTTGAACAGTACAGTAGTATTTTGAGATCTGGGTACCTTATTCTGTATGTACTTTATTATGTACCCCTTGGCACAAGATGTCATCCAAACACAAAAACAGGAATTCTGCAGGAGAGAGCAGCAAGACAAAAAGGAAGTCTGTTGATCTTGTACTAAAAATGAAGATCATAAAAGACTATGAAGCTGGTGAAAAAGTTAAAGCCGTAACAGAGGACTTAAATCTGGTGCATTCAACCATTTCAACAATCCTGAAGGATAAAGACAAAGTGAGAGAGGCAGTGAAAGCATATACAGGTTTGAAAACCATAATAACTAGCCAGCGGAAAGGCCTCATTCATGAAATGGAAAAATTATTGCCAATGTGGTTTTATCACCAGATACAAAAAAGAATGCCAATGAGTTTTGCAATCATTCAAGCCAAGGCACTCCGTTTTTTCCAGACTTTGAAGGCACGTGAAGGTGAAACATCAATGGAAACCTTAACAGCAAGTCATGGATGGTTTCAGTGGTTTTGTCACAGGTTCAAGCTGCAGATGTAGAAGCAGCACAACTTTTTCTTGACCAGTTTGATAAAATCATAGAGGAAGGCGGCTACTTTCTAGAACAAATCTTCAATGTGGATGAAACCGGCCTTTTTTAGAAGAAAATTCCTGAAAGGCCCTACATATACAAAGAAGCTAAAACAATGCCTGGCTTTATGGCTTTTAAAGATAGAGTCACATTGTTGTTGGGAGGAAATGTTAGTGAATTCAAATTAAAGCCTTTCCACATCTATGGCTCTGAGAACACTCCTGCATTAAAGCATATTAGTAAGCGCACACTGCCCGTTTACTATAGAGCTAATAACAAGGCCTGAATGACGCAAGCTTTATTTGAAGATTGGTTCAGCAACTGCTTTATACCCTCAGTGAAGTGTTACTGTGAAGAATAGAGTGTTTCTTTTAAAATTCTACTCCTGCTTGATAATGCCACCTACAGCATCTTGATGATCTACACCGAGCGATAAAGGTAGTGTATTTACCAAAAAATACAGCTGCTATCTTACAGCCCATGGATCAGGGGGCTATAGTTACCTTCAAAGCACACTATTTCTGCACAACTTTTTCCAAAGCTATAGCAGCAACAGAAAACAATGAAGTAACCCTTCTTGATTTCTGGAAATCATATGACATTTTAGACTGCATTAAAAACATTGAAGCAACTTGGGAAGGAGTGACAAAAAACTGTATGCAAGGCGTTTGGAAAAAATGCCTAAAAAATTTTGTGCATAATATGGAAGCATTTGACAAATATTTGGATATGTGAATCTCATAAACGAAGCAACTGTGGAGCTTAATATGGAGGTTGATGTGCAAGATATCGAAGAATTAGTGGAATATACTGAGGAAGAGCTGAGTGCAGAAGATTGAATAGAGTTGGAAGGACAGGAACACTTAGAAGAAGACAGAATTTATGAAGTACCAAAGAGGTTCACTGCAAAGGGATTAGCAGGTGTGTTCTCAAAAGTCTATGCAGCTATGTTAGAACTAGAGGCTATGGATCCAGATGTTGAACAGTTCACAAAAGTTGAACGGCAAATGAGCAAAGTTTTATGATGCTATCATGAAATTTATGAAGAAGAAAAGAAAATTACAAAACAGCACTATAACAGGATTGTTCTCACAAGCTACACCCAGGACCCTTACTTCTACTTTGTCATCTCCCTAAGGCTGGCCATACATTATACAATTTTCTTGAGAATTTTGCTTTAGATTTACCAAAAACCATATAATATGAGGTCAAACCTAAAACAACACTTTTAATTGTATCCAATTAGGCAGGCCCTTGCATTACATAGTTGAAGGTAAATCTAAAGGAAATTGAGCAGAAATTGGACAGAAAATTGTAAGAAGATTGTATAATATATGGCCAGTCTTACCCCAGCCTTCTACATCTCCTAATCATATGTCCACTGATGACACTGATGAGGACTTTGAAGGATTTGACGACTAAAATGTTATTATCTTCAATGTCTTTTGTTTTTTTTCCCATTCTGTACATCTTGTTTACAGAGCTTTACTGTTTTTTGTTTTTTCTTTTGCACCCAATTTTTTTTATTTCTTTTGGACAGTGCACCCAATTTTTTATTGTTGTATAGTACAGGTACTGCACAGTTGTTTTAAGTTCTGTTATACATTACAGTACAGTACTTTATACTGTGTAAGAGTTATGCAAATAAAAGCAAATTCATCAAGTTGGAGTTTCCTTTGTCCATTTCTTTGTTCTGAATATTGTAATGTACATACTAAATACAATTGCTAGTTTAACCACCTCCCGCCTGCCATATAGTAATATGACGAACGCAAGGTAGTTCTCTTGTTCTGGGAGGACGTCATACGTCTTCCTCCCATTCTCACCGCGCATGCGCGGCTCAGGGAGCGCACAGTGCGGCGATCGGCGGTACACTGTGTCCGGATCACTGATCACGGAAAGAGCTGAAGATGTCGGCTCGGTCATGTGATCAGCTGTGTCCAATCACAGCTGATCACATGTAAACAGGGAAATGCCGGTTATCGGCATTTCTCTCCTCTCTCAGCGTGACAGCTCGAGAGGAGAGCCGGTAATCGGTATTCCTCGGAGGGGACATGTACACAGATCATCAGGGCACTGATGATCAGTGTGCCCTGATGATCAGTGTAGCCCCAGCAGCGCCACCTGTCAGTGTCCATCAGTGCCTCATGCCAGTGCCCATCAGTGCCACATCAATGCCACATATCAGTGCCTACCAGTGCACATCAATGCCACATATCAGTGCCCATCTGAGCTGCCTTTCAGTGTCACCCATCAGTGCCAGTCAGTGCCACCTATCAATGCCAATCAGTGTCACCTATCAGTGCCACCTATCAGTGTGCATCAGTGCCTCCTATCAGTGCGCAATAGTGCTGCCTAACAGCGCCAGTCAGCGCCGCCTAACAGCGCCAGTCAGTGCCGCCTATCAGTGCTGCCTATCAGTGCCATGTATCAGTGCTGCCGTTCAGTGCCCATCCGTGATGCCTGTCAATGCCCATCAGTGCCACCTACCAGTGCTTCCTCATCAGTGGCACCTATCAGTGTCAATCAGTGCAGCCTATCAGTGCCCATCACTGCAGCCTCATTAACGCATATCATTGACGGAGAAAAATCACTTATTTACTAAATTTTATAACAAAAACTAGGAAAAAACTTTTTTTTTTTTTCAAAATTTGCAGTGGTTTTTGGTTTGTTTAAGAAAAAATAAAAATAAATTTAGTAGAATAAATTTAATAAATAGATTAAATACCACCAAAATAAAGCTCTATCTGTCACAAAAAAAATGATAAAAATTTAATATGAGTACAGTGTTGCATGACCGCGCAATTGTCATTCAAAGTGCAACAGCGCTGAAAGCTGGAAATTGGCCTGAGCAGGAAGGGGGTATAAGTGCCTGTAGGCTAGCGTTAACTACCAAACTTGCTTAACAACCAGTCTCCCAGAACGTAACTCGGTCGTTAAGCAAGGGATACCTGTATACCCTGCTTTACTTCACTAAAATCCCCTCTGTCGGGTTTTTACTGCTGTCTGTATCCCAACTAGTAATTTATCCACTTGTATTCTTCTCAATGATCATTGTTACAGGGACTGAAAGAAAAGCTGGCCATACAATGTTAGTTCCTTCTTCCAAAGCATGCTAATCCTTAACCACTTGCCGCCCACTCACAGTAAATGTACTGGGAACAGACGGCAGGTGCAGACTTGGCTAACATAAAAATCCATTCATTGCTTGCTACCAGGTTTGATCCTGCATGCGCTCCCCTCACTGACCTGTGCTGTGATTGGACACAGCATGATTTTGTCAGCAGGTTTCAGCCAATGTTTTATGGCTTAGACCTGCTGATCTGCTGTGGCCAGTCACAGCACAGAGCTCTGTATTTACAAACACACAGGATTCTGTACATAGAGCAGTGATCTAGCTGTTTATTCTCCCTGAAAAGCATGGAGAAAAAACAGCCAGATCTTTAGTGAAAGCAGCACATATTACACACATTACACTTGTTAGGCACACAGTTAACCCTTTAATTGCCCCTTGATGTTAAACCCTTCCAGATCACTGTCATTAGTACAGTGACAGTGTACTGTATTAGCAATGATCACTGTATTAGTGTCACTGGTGATGTCACTGTCAGTTAGTGTACCTCCCAGCAAGGGTTTGTTAGTGCCAGATTGCTTTCCACACTTTCACAGTTCTTCTCTAAGTCATTGATCACCGCCATTACCAGAATAGTGTCATAGCTGTGTAAATTCCAGTATATATACTATAGTTTGTAGACACTATAACTTTCACAAAAAAAATTTGTATACACTTATTGGGATTTTCTTTTACCATTATACATTTTAGAATACATTTATGAAGCTATTTTATTTTGTTTTTTTTTTTATTTTTTAATTTTTGTTTATATAATAAAAAATAAAAAACCCAGTGGTGACCAAACACCACCAAAAGAAAGCTCTATTTGTGTGAAAAAAATTATAAAAATGTAATTTAGGTACAGTGTTGCCAAATAGCAAAAAATGTCATGGTCATGAAGTGGGTAAAACCTTTCGAAGGTCAAGAGGTTAAAAGCAGTTTATTATCAACAAGGCTAAAATCAAGTCATGACAGACATGCTAACGTATTTTGGCCACTGAAGCCTTACTAATCATATTTGTCTGTCAGACCCTCTAATGCAAGCCATAGATGGGTCGAAAATCGGCTGATTTTTCTTTAAAAAAACGAAAAATCGGTCGTTCAAGCGACCGACGTAACCAGCAACGGTAAAAAAAAAAATCGGCCGATTTTCATCCCATCTACAGCTGGCAAAAAGTGTCCCTGCAGAGAGCTCCGCTATTTCTTTGACAGCTCCTTGACATTTATAGCGGCTGCAACAATGTATCTATTTCTATCCATTTAGGATACAGATGTTTTTATTCGGAAACAAATAGATACATTGTTGCAGCCGCTATAAATGTCAAGGAACTGTCAAAGAAATAGCGGAGCTCTTTGCAGGGACACTTTTTGCCGGACTGGAATTCCTCTTCTTCTTCATCCTCTTCTTCCTCTTCTTCATCCTCTTCATCTTCCTCTTCTTCTTCATCTTCCTCTTCTTCATCCTCTTCTTCTTCTTCTTCTGCTTCTTCTCTTCATCTTCATCCTCTTCTTCATCTTCATCCTCTTCTTCTTCTTCATCCTCTTCTTCATCCTCTTCTTCTTCTTCTTCATCCTCTTCTTCTTCATCCTCTTCTTCTTCATCCTCTTCTTCATCCTCTTCTTCTTCTTCATCCTCTTCTTCTTCTTCTTCATCCTCTTCTTCTTCATCCTTTTCTTCATCCTCTTCTTCTTCTTCTTCTTCATCCTCTTCTTCTTCTTTTTCCTCTTCTTCTTGCTCTTCTTCTTCATCATCCTCTTCATCATCCTCTTCTTCATCCTCTTCTTCTTCATCATCCTCTCTTCTTCTTCCCCCTTCTTCTTCATCTTCTTCTTCATCCTCTTCTTCTTCATCTTCTTCTTCTTCCTCTTCTTCTTCTTCCTCTTCCTCTTCTTCATCCCCTGCTTCTTCATCATCCTCTTCTTCTTCCTATTCTTCTTCATCCTCTTCTTCTTCATCCTCCTTTTCTTCATCCTCTACTTCTTCTTCATCTCTACTTCTTCATCTTCTCTACTTCTTCTTCTTCTTCTTCTTCCTCTTCTTCTTCCTCTTCTTCATCCTCTTCTTCTTCTCCTTCATCCTCTCCTTCTTCTTCATCCTCTTCTTCTTCTTCCTCTTCTTCATCCTCTTCTTCATCCTCTTCTTCATCCTCTTCTTCTTCATCCTCTTCTTCTTCTTCATCCTCTTCTTCTTCTTCATCCTCTTCTTCTTTTTTCCTTCTCTTTTTGTCTTCCTCTTGCAGGTCACTGCTCATGCGCAGATTTTTTTTATCGGTAAAAAGATCGGCCGATTTGCCCATCATTGCCGCAAAAATCGGCCGATTTTTTTTCCAACTTTACCGATAAATTTTTTTTGCCAAAATACCAAAAAACGGCCGAACAATTAGCCCACTAACGATCCGAAAATCGTCCGATTTTATTTTCGGCCGAAAAATCGGCCGATTTTTGACCCATCTATGGCCTGCATTAGTCACAAATAAATACAAACAACCCCTTGTACAACAAGGGGAGGGGTTACATAGCACCAGCTGTATTAAATTGTAATCAAAAAGGCTACAAAACAACATACAGAACAACCACACAAATGGACAAATGCTACACCTAGAACATTTTCCACATGCATTCACATAAACTACATTACATGTATTGTAATTGACATATTGTTTGATCTGAAAATTTTCCCCAGTAGCCATAGAAACTATTTATTTGCTTTTAAGGCCTGTTCACACTGGAAAGCAGTGCGAGAAAGACACTATCTGTGCACGCTCCCCCACAGCACACATGATCACACTGCCCTTGCGAGACATGCTCAGGTGCCAAATGTTAATGGAACCCCACATGCATCTTGCAAACTCAGCACATGTGACCACCAAGCTGCATGGTACCACAGTAACATGTGGCTTGGTGCAGTGTGATTTTAAAAAGTAGATCTTGCACTACTTTATGCAAGTACTAGTGCATTCAAATTAATAGGCTGAAATTTTGTGTAGCTGTTTTTATCAAATTGAAATACTTACCCTCTTCTTTTTTTCTGCTCCTAAATGACTCCTCCACTATTTTCTGTTTCAATATTTTTATTGCAAATTAACATACAATTAAATAACTGTACAGCTATAGGCCCCTGATGGCCACACAAAAGGATCTTGCAGCACAGGCAAGACACAGAAATGACATAAAAGTAATATACATCAGCGACATATAGATTAAGTGTAGCAAGTCCAGATATCCCAATCCACCCTGGAGCAGAAAGTACTAGGATAGGTCAACAGCAGGCACAGAGGAATGGAGATGCTGAATCTATGGGAGCAATCCAAATGTGCCAAAGCCTAAGGTCTGTTTTCCTATATATCAGGCACAAGAAGAATAGAGTGCTACACAATATGTCTTTGAATCATAATATGACGTCAAGCCATCAAAGGACAAACTGTGCAAAAAAAGAAAAAAAATTAAAAGGGAGTAAGAGAGAACAAGGGAAGAGACAGAATCCACCCACGCGACAAGCTTGCCCATTCCAACAAAGAGGAGGTGATATTAAAATGTAGTTGGTAGGTAGCTAATCCATGGGTTCCAAACTCACTCAAACTTGGTAGAGTTATCATGCAGGATGCTGACCATTTTCTTGTTGATCGTGATCCATGAAATTTATGTTTCAATAATACTAAGTCCACCACCGGGCTCTTCCAGGCAGTTGCGATTGCAATTTTGGCTGCCAGGAACATGAAATAGATTAGGGTCTGAGCGGATCTGTAAACTCCATCAGTGGGTTTGTTGAGCAGCGCATTTCTGGGGTTTTTAATGTCATTAATCATAGTCACCGTGAAGATCGGGGAATTAACTCGTATCCAGTACCTTTTAACTTTAGGGCACGTCCACCATTCATGGACCATCGTTCCCACTTGCACACATCCTCGGAAACAAAGCGAGGAGGAGCTAGGGTACATTGTTGACAAATTGGTCCTGGACCAAATACTGTCCTCCGCTATTTTGGCTGGAACTCAATTGCATGATTGAGGTCTACTCTACAATTTTAAAACTGGCCTTTATGTCTAATTGCTTTTTTAAAGTTTTCTCTCTTAGTGTATCTTAGTTAGTTTTGTATAAAACCACAATGATAGTGCTATAATAGCTTATGTAAGAATATAGAAATTTTTTACCTATGGAGGTCTGTGGAATGGCAGTGTAGTGCCCTCCTAGTTATCCAGGGGGAGCTAGCTAATT